TTTTATTTCAGTTGGTTGTGTTGTAATGTCACCCATCTTATTTCTTATTCGGGTTTTTTGCATCTTCTTCTGTTTTTCTTTTGTCTATTTGGCCAGTGGTTTGTCGATTTTATTGATCCTTTCAAAGAACCAGCTTTTAGTCTTATTGATTCTCTTGTTTTTCTGTTCTTTTTCATTTTTTTCTGCTCTAATTTTTATTATTTTGTTTCTTCTGGCGACTGTGGGCTTCTTTTGCTATTCTTTTTCTAATTGAGATATAGGGTTAATGTTTTGATTTTTTCCTTTCTTCTTCTTTGGTGTGTATGTTTATTGCTATAAATTGACCTCTGAGTAATGCTTTTGCTGTGTCCCAAAGGTTTTGGCGTGTTCTGTGTTCATTCTCATTTGCTTCTAGGAACTTTTTAATTCCATCTTTGATTTATTCTATTACCCAGTAATTTTTAAGCAGGGTATTATTTCATTTCCATGTATTACATTTTCTTTTCCTTGTTCTTCCTGTTATTTGGTTTCTACTTTCATAGTGTCGAGATCAGAGAAGATGCTTTGTATTATTTCAATGTTTTTTAATTTATTGAGGCTTGCTTTGTGGTCTAAAATGTGGTCTATTCTGGAGAATGATTCATGAGCATTGGAGAAGCATGTGTACTTTGCCGCTATTGGATGAAGTGTTCTGTATATGTCTATGAGGTCTAGTTGGTTGATTGTGGTATTTAGATCTTCTGTGTCTTTGTTGAGAGTGGTGTGTTAAAGTCTCCTGCTACCATTGTGGAAATGTCTATTTCTCTTTTCAGTGCTGTTAGAGTTTCTTTTATGTATTTTGAAGCCCTGTCATTGGATGCATATATATTTATTACAGTTATGTCCTCTTGGTGGACTGACACTTTAATCATTATAAATGTCCTTCCATGTCTTTTACAGTGGATTTTGCCTTAAAGTCTATTTTATCAGAGATTGTCATTCCTGCTGTTTTTTGGTTATTGTTTGCTTGATGTATCTTTTTCTGTCCTTTAAGTTTTAGTTTATTTACATCTTTGTGTCTAAGATGTATCTCTTGCAGACAGCATATTGATGGGTCATGCTTTTTTATCCATTCTGCCACTCTTCATCTCTTTATTGGTGCATTTAGGCTATTTACATTCAGTGTGATTATCAATAAGTATGAGTTTATTGCTGTCATTTTGCTATACTTTTTTTATTTGTGGTGTTGATGGTTTCTTTATTCTGCTTAATTTTCAGTGCTGAGTTTTCTGTTTTGTTTTGTTTTTTAATTGTGGCTTGTCTTTTCATTTCCTTCATTGTTTTGTGTGTACTGAGTATGGTTTTCTTCTTTTATATTTTGATTAAGCAGGTGTGTTAACTTTCTTTGCGGTTACCCTGAAATTTACCTATACCTTCCTAAGTTTAAAGCAGTAACTCATTTTGTCTCCATATGGAAGTTCTAAACCTATATGCTTTATTCCCCTCTTGATGTTTTGAAGTGGTCGTCACTTACAGGTTGGCATTTCTGGTTCTCTATTTTCCATCTTTTAGCTTTATTTTATTTTTGACAGTTCTTTATCTGGGTTGATATCTGGCTGATGTTGTCATATGTTTTAATATCAAGTTGTTGTCTGGTATTGTTAGTTTTTTGTCCAAAAGACTTCCTGTAAAATTTCTTGTAAAGTTGGCCTGGTTTTTACAAATTCCCTTAATTTCTGTTTATCTGGAAATGTCCTAATTTCACCATAATATTGCAGGGACAATTCAACTTGACAGCAATGGGTTTGGTTTTTTGGTTATATAATTCTTGGTTGGCAGTTTTTTTCTTTCAAGGTTTTATATATGTCATCCCATTGCCTTCTTGCCTGATAGTTTCTGCTGAGTAATCAGAGCTTAGTCTTATCGATGCCGCTTTGTAGGTGATCTTTCAATTTTCTCGAGCTGCTTTCAGGATTCTTTGTCTTTGGTTTTGGAAAGTTTGATTATGATATGTCTCAGTGTTCTTCTTTTGGAATCTATCCTGTATGGGGTTCATTGTGCTTCTTGGATGGTTATCTTCGTGTCCTTCCTATTAGGGAGCTTTTCTGTCAGCAAATCTTCAGCAGTTCTGTACTTTTGTTGACTCCTCCCCTTCTGGGATTCTGATCACATGTAAATTATTCCTATTGATGGTGTCCCACATAACTCTTAAGCTTTCTTTCTTTTTTTTAATTGTTCTCTAACAGATTAGTGTTAAGGGATTTGTCTTCTATTCTACTGATCCTGTCTTTCATTGTTTCCATTCCATTTCTATGACTTTCCATTGAGTTATCTATTTCTGAAATTTTATTGTTAAGCTTCTGGATTTCTAGTTGCTGTTTTTGTACGGTTTCAATTGTCTATTTATTTTGTCATTTTGTTCTTTATTGTTTTCCTGAATTCTTCTAGGGTTTTGTCTGTGCTTTCCTTGGTTTTGTCTGTTTTCTTCGATTCCTTTTAGGACCCTATAACCTGTTGCTGTCGAGTCAATTCCAACTCACAGCAACCCTATAGTACAGAGTAGAATTGCCCCATAGGGTTTCCAAGGACTGGCTAGTGGATTCAAACTGCCAACCTTTTGGTTAGCAACCATAGCTTTTAACCACTGCACCACCAGGGCTCCATCTTTTAAATTCCTTATTATTAAGCTCCATTATCTTTTCTTCCTGGGGGAGGATTTCTGGCTCTTTATTTTGGTCACTTGCTGGAGCCATTTTGCCCTGCTTGTTTAGGTGGCTTGCTATTGTCTGTTGTCTCTGGGAGATCAGGGGTTATTGTATTTATTTTTTAATTGTATGTTTGCTGGGTCCTATTTTTTTCATTGTTGTTTTGATGATTCCTGGCAGGAGTGGCTGGTGTGGTGCTCTAGTTGCTGGGCTAATGGTACTGGAGCGCTCCCTACCTGTCTTCAGGCGAGTAGGGTGGCAAATAGGTGTGGGAGCTTGGATCTCTGTTTACTGGTCTTGCAGGGTGGCTAAGGGTGGGTTGGTTGGGCTTTGGCCTCTGTCTTTGGTTCAGTGGCACAGGAGCAGGAAGTGGTGCTCTCCTTGAGGTAGAGTAGCCAGTATGGTGGGTGTGATGAGCAGGTGGGGGCATAGTTGTCACCTCTTGCCAGTTGGTGGTGCCTGGGTGGTAGAGGGAGGACAGCAGGTGGACAGGCATGCAGTCACTCTACCTCCACTTCCTCCTTGGCAGGAGGGAAAGGAGGAACAGCAGGTGGATGTCCACTCAGTGGTGCTATATGTCGGTGGAGGAAAAGAGGAAACTGCAGCAGGGGGATGGGCGTGCACTTACTCCGCTTTCACCTCGCACTGTGTAGGGAGAGGGAGGAAAGGGCCTCGGGGGATGCATGCAGTCACGACTTCTCTACCTTTGGCTGAGCAGGTTAAGGGAGTCACGCCATGCAGATGCACACAGTAGCACTGCCTCTGGTTCACGCGCAGGGGGATATGCATGCAGTCATGGCTCCTCCGCCCCTTGTTGGGTGGGTTAAGGGAGTTGTGTCTGGCAGATGCATGGTGGTGCTGCCTTGCGCCAGATGGGAGGGAGAAGGGGCTGCAGAGGGATGCACATACTGTCCCTCACTGGGTGGATTAAGGGAGTCACGTCACCTCCACGTCACAACGGGCAGGAGGGTGGATGGGGCAGCAGTGGGGTGTGCAGGGAGTTGCACCTCTTCTGCCCCTTGCTGGGCAGGGGGTTAGGAGGAAGGAGCAGCGGTCAGGTTTTCTTGCTGTCAGGTTGCTGCTGCCCCCACCAGACCCCTGTGGGGGTGTGGGTAGTGAGTGGGCACATGCACAAGGGTGACCTAGTCCTGCTTGTCGGGTGGGCAAAGGGGGGCTAGTGGACGGGGTTGGGTGGAGTAAGGGGGGAAAGGAGAGGCTTGTGTTGTTGTCCCCCAGTCAGGTGAGGCAGTTGGGGTATGGGATCCACTGCCACCTCCGATGAGGAGGAGGGGGCAAGGGGAAAGTGCATCCCTCCAGCTAAGATACACCCTGTGCCGGGACACCTCACATCCACTGCAGCCAGCAAGCGGGACCTGTCCTGAGTGCACAAGGGGGGACCACCCAGGGACAGGTTGGGTGGGAGACCTTCTGCCAATACTCCATGGGTCTATCACCTTGTGTGCACCACTCACCCAAGGTCAGGGGCTACTACTCCTGAGTATTTCCAATTCTGGATACTGGCATCCTCCCTGCCTCTGCTTCTTTCCATTTGTGTCTATAGAGCTTCTCTGTCCCTTTTGGAAAAGTTGTGAAGTTGTCTTGCTGTTTCTGTCATCCAGGGTCACTGCTGGCTTTGTCCTAGGATGGCCGTCTATCAGGCCAGGACGGCTGGCTGATCACCTCCATCTTGTATTACCCCTCTTTTGCAGCTTTCACTCCCTTTTTCCTTCCAGTCAGTGTTCAGTTCAGTTCTTAGACCTTCTTTTTTGATGTTCAGTGTTCCTGGATTGTTATCTGCTTCTGTTTCATTGGTTTTTTGGGTCTTTGGTGCAGGGGGACATTATAGTGCTTGTGATTAAGCCACCATCTTGGCTCTATCTCCTGAAACGCTTTGTAAGTAACACTTGCCCGAGCAGGGCAGGGGCAGGGGCCAAGGGGTCGAGGGCCAGAGAGAGGCCTGCTTGCAGACATGGTTGAGAAGAAGCTGTCCGGACTGAAGAACTGTATCCTGAGTCGTTTCTGATCCTGAATTGTAACCTGTTATTACCCTAATAAACCTTATAATCATGAGTACTGTCTCTGAGTTTTGGGTGGCCATTGCAATGAATTATCAAACCCAGCAGAGAAGGAGAGAGTACCATGGAAGGGTGTCAGAACTGGTATAAATGTTGGACGGAGGACGCATGTCTGACCTCCACCTCACAGAAATCAGCCTTGGGCTGCTGATCTTGATTTTCCTCTCATCTAGTGAAGACAGAGGTCAGACACCCTCCTCACGCCATTCTTACCACACCTTAAAGGAGAAGGAAGTGCCTCACCAATCTTACAGCTGAGAAATGGCACAATCTTGTCCACTACCACAGAGCAGCTTCCAACCCATGTGACCCAGGCCCCCATAAATTCACACATTTGCACATTTTATTTTTCTTTATAAACTTAAAATTTCTTTACAAGCTACTCAAACCATACAATAGTAGGAGTGAGACCCTGACAGGCCCCCCCACAAACTTCTGTGCAGACAGGCAAACAAGCCTCAAGGGCCAAAACCCCAGGTTTAAGTAATTCCACAAGCATCCTGTAAGGACGTCTCTTTATGGGCAAGAAGCCACACGATTTTGAGGCCTCTGACATATCGAGTATTATTTCCCCACGAAGAGGTTTTGATTCAGACTTGGAAAAGCCAGGCAAAGTGTCACTCCTTCTCACTGCTCTCCTGTGGCCATTTAACTATTTCATATCCACAGGGCTTGGTTTGCACAATTTAACTGATAAATGCTGGTGTTAACTAAGAAAGGAAAACTGCCTCAAGAAAAGACCTAACCCCCAAAGAGAAAGCGCAGAAGCCTGCTGCCACCTTGTGGCGGCTTGATGCAAATGTGGGAGCAGCAAATCTAACAGGGCAGAGCTTTCAAGGAAAATAAAGTTCACTGTGAATATAAAAGCACACAGTATTAAGGTAATGTGTATGCTACAAAAATGGTTCAGTTTATTCAACTTTCTGGATATTTAGGTAAAAAACGCATATTAGTCTTAACCAGTGCTACTGCAAAGAAAGCTTTCTTGGCTAGTACGACTTGCCTCAAAGCTTCTCTCCACCAGCATAGAACAACCTAAAGCATGTTCTACACCAGAGTGCTCTGGAGAGAGAAAACTCAGCCAAAAAATACAGAAAGGATAAACAGAAACCAGCTGTGCCCCCAAAAAGAATCCTAGACGTCATATGTTATTTACAGAAAACAATGGTTAGGTTTGTTTTGAGATGAGAAGTGGGAAGTAAGACCCAGTAACTCGCAAGGAAGTCTTAGTTGTTCCCCACTTCTCTTTTGTTACCCCGTGGCAGGATTGGTACCCATTTCTAAAGGTTCCATCAAGTTCTGATCAGCTTTGTCACCAGTGTACCTTCTCTTCAGTTCAATTAACCATTGTTAACTCTGTTATTCAGGGAATGAAGGAAAAGACTAGGGTGAGGGAGGAGGGTAGGAAGCATGGGAGAAACGCTTGGCAAAACTTCTCAGATGAGAAAGATGATTCCCTCAGACACCATGACCTGGTTGTCATCCTGCATCTTGCTCAGGGCAGCCTGGATCTCCACTGGAGAGAAGGGCTCTTCTGTGTCCCGGTTGATGGATTCTGTAAGATGATTCATGCCCACCGATTGGGCATGAGCTTCCCGGAAAACCTCCAAGAGGGCTACCTTGAATGCCTTCAGCCTGCCCAAGACAGGAGAAACAGAAGGAGGCATCAACAACAAAAAAATGCTCAGATAAGATCTATGTTGGGAAAACTCAAGAGACTAACACAGTATAGGTGTCCCTCAATATTCACCCACACACACACACATTTCACACACATACACATTTTTGCCTGATGGCTGCCCACTCATGAATTTCACTCTTCATGCACACTGAGAAAAGATATTTTAAAATTAGAGGCCTTTTGAGAGCGTAGGAAATCGGCAATCTACTATAATGTTGGTAGAAATGTAAACTGTTAAGGTATCTTTGGGGCAATTTAACAACATCTACTTAAATTTTAAAAGCCCGTATTTTTTGACCCAGGTATTCCATTTCTAGGAATTCATCTTACACTTATACATGCATGTATGTACAGTGATAAATATACTGTTTTACCATAACCATAAATAGCAATTGTATGCCAACCTACATGTCCAGCATTAGAGAAATCATTAATTTGACACATCCACACTGTGGAAACTCTACAGTTATTAAAAACAGTGAGCGCTATATAAGCTGATTCATAAAGTGCCTGAAGATATGCATGGTTCACTGGTTGTCTCTGGGGGGTGGAATTGCAGTTGATTTTAATGTTTTTTGTTTGGTTGGTTTTTCTAAATACTTTTCAATGTTTTCTACATTTTTTATGGTAACCACATTGTGTGTGTGTGTTTAACACAAAAAGAAAAAAGTAAACCCTATCTATGGAGTTTCTTTGATAGCCAGTAAACATAAAATTTACAGACAAAAATGTTTTTTTGAAATCCTAATGGTGACAATTCTTCATCTCAAAACAAATGGCTGCAATTTAATGAGAAAAGAAAACAGACAAGCTACATATATACTTTATATATATATGTCCCACAAAAACATTCAAAGGAGGATTCTGTGTTCTGAGAAGAACCCAAGGTTATAGTAGGACACAAATTTTGTCCTTGTTCTAAGATCTTCTTCCTGACCCCAGAGGACATAATAATTCAAATCCCTACAGAGTGAGTATTATGGTAAAATGTAAACAACTGGAGATTCTGGATAAAGGGTATACAGGAGTTCTTCATACTATCCTCGCAACTTTCCTGTACATTGGAAATTATAATCAGAATTTAAAAATCTTTGGGCCTTCAGTTTTGAGCTCCACTGATAACCAGCTAGTCTCATATTTTCTCCCAGGGGTGGCACATGGAATTCGTGAAGGCATAGAAGCAGCTTCCCTACTCACCTGGATTCACTCAACTCCACCTTCTGGGATTCTTTAGTCTCCTGTGGTTCTGTCATCTTTGGAGTGTGTACTTTAGAGGATTCATGGTTGGAGATATTGGGAAGACATCAAGATGAAACCATTTTCACAAACACCAGCAGTTATCTTCCCCACCCCTCATCAAGCCTGCTAAGTACTCATGTTTCCTAGGGTTCTTATGGGGCCAGCCAGAACAATTAGGGTAAAGGGCAATCCTCACCGAATGACAAAGGAATTGAGGCAGGCAGGAGGCCTTAAACATGCATTGTCTGGGATGATTTTACCAGACCTGGCAAAAGAGCACAGGTCATCAATGAGAAAGCAAACAACTTTTTTTTTTACTGTGGGTTTCCCCTGAGGTTCTCTTGGGATAAACCTCTTAGACACAAGAACCCCAAGCAGGCAGCTAAATGGGAGCCCATAAGAAAAGACAGTAGACGGAGCAACTAAAAGAGGCCAGGAGATAAGGGAACAACCTCTTTGATCAGCAGGGGGATGCTCGCTCACCTTGAGGCATTTCCTCCTCTGTGTCACTGAAGTCATAGGGGTCATAGGAGTCCCCATCCTTGGCCTCTGAGTGTCGAGTCTTCTTCCTAAAATACCCACAGCAATTAAGAGAAAGGACTTGAGGACCCCCACCCTGTGCCTCTGATCACAAGGAAAACAAAATAGAGGCATCAACAATCAGAGTGAAACACTAGCCCCAGGCCTGTACAAATCACTACTTTTTCTGAAAGAGATCGAAAGTACTAGAACACAAAACAGGTCCTGCTTCCCAATGTTTCCTTTCCATATCACCCACTCTTATACATATGTCCAAAAACCTCAGTGAGAGGGTTACTGCTCCTGCTGTTTAGCATTTCTTCAGCAGAAAGGGGGTCAAAAGTATCACACTAAACACAATAGAGGGGCTCACTTGCTCACTCTCTCCTTTGCCCAAGTAATCTTCATCCTCAAACCCTGCAGTATAGGCCCCCCTGCCCTGAAGAAGCTGATGTCAACACATAGCACCTGATCTTATCACCACCCTGAGCCTTTTCATCTTACTTCTCTCTGTCCCACCTTACCTCTTCTTCTTCTGTTCATGGTCCTCCTGACTTTTCTCCTCTTCATCTTCTGTCTCTGACTCATCCTCATTTCGCTTCTTACGTTTCTTCTCCTTCTCCAGAACCTAGGACCAAGCCAAGTGTGTGTGGGCTAGAGGGGTCACGGTTGCTGGGGAACTGAATAAAGAACTCTAAATAAGAGTTCCTTCTGCACCATCAGCGGGAATGGGTCTAATGACCTACCAGCATCTCTTGTACTCAAGTCCCAGGACCAGGGGCATGGGGATAAGCTGTTACTCATCTTAAAAAAACACTGGGAGGTATATTCAGTGCCTTTCGTATAGTAGGTGCCAATAAAATGTTTAAAAGAAAAAAATAAAAAGAAAAATAATGTCCAGCCTATAATAGTTAAGTGGAAAACAATTCATTTCTTTATAAGTCAGGTATTTAACTGAAATTAAAGACAACCCCTACCCTAGCAAAGAGAAAAAGCCAGAAGAAGCCTATCAGACCCACAAATAGACCCCAAAGGGCTACAATTAACCAAATTGTGGAGGGCACGACAACGATGAAAAGAGAGTCAAGGCTTCAAGGTTTGGTCTCAAAATGACAGAGATGCAATATCACAAACAGAAACAGGGAAACGGGATGAGAGGCAAGTTTGAGGGTTCAATTTTAAACATGAATTTCTGAGGTGTCAATGGGACACCTGAAGAGACTGCCAAAGAGAAAGGTATAGAAGAGAACGAAGAAGAGCATCAAGGCAAATCCTTTGGAAATACCCACTTTTTTAGGAGGCAAAGGAAGTATGGGTAGACAAAAGACACAGTTGACTGAAGATGTAGCACATCAATTAAACCAGAATCTCCAGGGACCCTGGCATCAGTATTTTTAAGCTTTACAGCTGATTCTCACAAGCAGCTAGGGTTGAGAACCACTGCTATAATGCTTCAGAGGAAAGAGAAAGGGAGACTGAACACTGGCAGACTAATGCTGCTTTCTGTTGACACTCCAAATTCAAGTGTCACCACAGAAGCTGAGAAGCCCGTGCGATAACGATTTAGTTGGAAGAGCCTCTCATGCCCAGGCATCTGAATCCTCACCTTCTTGAAATAAGCATACTGGACCAACTCCACAGCTTCTTCTGCATCCTGCAGGTCCACGGTCTTGCTCATGCGGGCCTTGGCATGGGCCGTAGCCAGTCGAATCAGAGTTTCCAGTGTCCGGGCAGTAACTGGAGATGTCTGGGGAAGAAAGCAAGAGAGGACTACTTATCCAGGATTCTTCAGGCATGCCCACCATTCCTACTGTACAGAAAGAGAAATAAAAGCACTATCAGAAAAGCTCCACGAAGTCTAAGCGAAGAATTCAGAACTCTGTGTTCTCTGTAGATACCATATGACATTAGAAAGAGAAACAAAATGATCAGGGAAATACATTGGTGGGGGATTGAGTGAACAAGGAAGAAGATGACTAAACATTAGGCCTCTTACAGCAGGAAAGATAAAAGCTATAAAGGGATAAAAATAATGACTTATTGCAGCTGACAAAATCTTACCAGGAACTTTGTTTTTTTACTCATTGTGTCATTTAATCCTTTTAATGACTTGAATAAGAAGGTATTAATACCCTCATTTTATAGATGAGAAAAATGGAACTCAAAGAGCTTCAAGTAATTTGTCCAGGGTCACAGGACAGGAGGGTGTGAAAGAGGTAATTTGGGACAAACAAAAAAAGTTGGGTAAAGTCATTGAAATCCAGAGGAGGAACAGAATTCAGACATGCTTATCAAGTGGTTCTCGCGGGGGTGGGTGTACACCAAAATCAAGTGGGGTGCTTTTCTCTTTCAAATGCGCTTGTCAAAATGGCATCCCTGGCCTAATGAATCAGAATCCCTACGTTCAGAATCAGGTATGTGTGCTTTTGAAGTTTCAGGCAATCTTGACATGCCTTAAGCATCCCTGACATATCCAAACTTCTCATTTTATGGATAAGGAAACTGTGGCCTGGCAGGTAAAAGGGTGTGCCCAAAGTCCAAAAGCTAGCTGCAGAGCTGGGATCAGAATGTGGGGATAGTTCTTCCTGTCGTACCTCCCCATCTCTTGCTATATGATCCTCAGTGAGGTATCCTGGTCACTTTTACTTTCAAGTTTTCTAAATTACCATTTATACCCACATCAATGTTCAAAAACAAATATATTCACTTTTTTTTAATTCACCAGATTTTTTAATGATTTAGAAAGCTACCAGAAAGAAAACTGACTAATATAGCTTATGAAAAAAGATGCAAAAATCCTCAACAAAATACTAGCAAACCAAATCCAAAAGCATATTAAAAGGATTATACACCACGATCAAGTGGGATTTATGCCAGGAATTCAAGGTGGTTCAACATTAGAAAATCAATCAATGTAATATACCACATTAACAGAACAAAGGGAAAGAACCACATGATTATCTCAATTGACACAGAAAAGGCATTTGACAAAATTCAGTAATTTTTCGTGATAAAAACTCTCAACAAGCTAGGGATAGAAGGGAAATTTCTCAATATGATAAACGGCCTTTATGAAAGACCCACAGCTAACATTATACTCAATGAAGAAAGACTGAGAACTGTCCCCTTAAGATAATGAACAAGACAAGGATGCCCACTCTCACCACTGCTGTTCAATACTGTACTGGAAGTCCCAGCCACAGCAATTAGGCAAGAAAAATAAATAAAAGCTATCCAAATCAGGAAGAAGTAAAACTATCCCTTTTTGCAGATGGCATGCTCCTAAATATGGAAAGCTACCAGAGTTTAGAGGTCATATGCTCTAAGCTTCAATTACTGAAACACCTAAAAAGCTAACGAAATCCTAGTCTATATTAGCAAAACTACAGGATCCAAACAGACGGATTTACAAGGCCTGCTAAGACCACAACTAAAGTTGTGATATAACATGTTCAGTTCTAGGTATAGTGAGAGGGCCTTTGACACACTAGAATACGTTCACATCAGGGGAGGAACAAGTGAAAAGAAAGGGAGATAATTAATCTGAAGAAAACAAGTCACATACAATCCCGAGAAAACAAAATTAAGACTCACGAGCAGAAGTCATGAAGAAGCAGGTTTAAGCTCAAAAAGTAGAACACCTCAGTGTAGCAATATAATGAGCACGCTGTTACTGGGAATGCTAAGGAGATCCTAGCAGGGATTCCAGAACACAAAATTCCTGTCCCAGCTGTGAGGCTGGAGTAGATAACCTGGGATTATGTCTAAATTCAAGAGTCTATGTCAATGTCACTTAGTAAGGGTTTTGGACTTCAGCCTTTCTGTTGTGAAATCCTGTATGGACTACACTGTCCCAAGAGTTTCAGGAAGCTATATTCAGTTACTAGAAATAGCTTTGGATAACCATTATGGTTGCCAAACTTAATCATTCGTCAAAGTCAAGCTCAAATATCATACTCTCTGGTATGCCTCCCCTGACATTCATACCCCTTCTGGGTCCCCTGACATTTATACCCCTTCTGGGAAGTCTAACGGAAAAATTAATAGCTTCTTCAACTGTATTCCCATAGTCCTTCATACTCATTCCTTTTTTATAAAAAGTACCACACTGTGTGCGTGTGTGTGTGTGTGTGTACGTATCTTTCTATCTAACTTTCTGCCTTCCCCTCCCAGATCTGAGCTCTTTAACCCCACACACAAGAATAGAGACTGGTTCCCAGAACTCTATCATATGTTTGTTGAATGAATTGCAGCTTCTGGGGGTCAATGTCATTTGAGCTAATGAGATACATTATCTCTGAGGTTATTCTTTCACTTTCCTTTGTAAAAGGAGATGATTAAAATTACATAACCAGAAACCCATCAGACCAGAAAGAAAAGGTAAGGGTTGAAACATTCAGTTAAAATGCTTTCAAAAGTGGTTTGCATGAAATAAGTCAATCACAAAAGGACAAATATTGTATGAGACCACTACTGTAAAAACTCATGAAAAGGTTTACGCACAAAAAGAAACAATCTTTGATGGTGACAAGGGAGGGGAGGGTTGGGGATGGAAAAACACTAAATAGACAATAGATAAGTGGTAACTTTGATGAAGGCTAAGACAGTACACAATACTGGCGAAGCCAACACAATTTATACAAGGCAAGGTAATGGAAGCTCAATAGACACATCCAAACTCCCTGAGGGACCAAATTGCTAGGCTGAGGGCTGTGGGCCATGATCTCGGGGAACATCTAGCTCAACTGGTATAATATAGTTTATAAAGGAAATGTTCTATGTTCTACTTTGGTGAGTAGCATCTGGGGTCTTAAAAGCCTGTGAGTGGCCATCTAAGCTACTCCACTGGTCTCACCCCTTCAGGAGCAAGAAGAATGAAGAAAACTAAAGATACAAGGGAAAGATTAGTTCAAAGGACTAATGGACAACTACCAGGGTCTCCACCAGACTGAGTCCAGTACAACTAGATGGTGCCCAGCTACCACCACTGACTGCTCTGACAGGGATCACAATAGAGGGTCCCAGACAG